ACTGTAAAACAAAGGGGGTTGGTTTTGTTTGTTTTATACAGAATCCTGGCTTAAATCACCAAACTGACATCACGTAGCTGTCATTCAGCCTACCAAGCTGAAAACTGCTCTGCAGCATCATTACAGACAAGGCAATGTGTACTTGGAGAGTTTCAAGAATACACTGAACTTCTTTTAAACCTCTTCCCCCAGGCAAAATGTGAAGCTATTGTGCAACAGAGGTCACTCTGTGCAGCTAGCTCATGCATATGCCATTTTGTTCTGGATGTCAAGGATGATTTTTAACAAGGAAATCAGTTTCCATTTAGAAGAACACTCTACACCTAGATGTGTTTCACATCTACTGTAAATAAAGTAAAAATTAAAGGGCATAATGATGAATGTCCAGCAGTAGATTTTTATCCACTTAACAATCTCAGAAGTATTCAATCCAGTTCTGTAAGAACTCAATAACAAATTTTAATTTGGAGGCACTTGTCTGGATAAAAAGGAAGTCTTCTAAGTAGTGTCTACAGTCCTTTTTTCTTTAATGTATGATATTTATGAAATGCTACATACATGAGAGCCCTTTTTAGGACAGCACATCTGCAAGAAATCAGAAGATCACACAGAGAATGTGCTGTGAGAATCTGGCCTAGAAGGCTGCAGACAGAATGCCAGTTCCTGTGCTGTAACTATTTGTCTTTTTTTTTTCATTTCTTTTCTTTGAGAGAGGAAAGCCTTAAAGCTTTAATCTCACACACAAGCTCATCACATCCCAAGTCTATCTGTAATGCTCTCCAAATAAGAATGAACTCGGAAGGATGATGCTCAATCATTAAATCCTTCTCTGCAGAGCTGTTTTCAACTTACAGGTTCATAAAAGGGATCCTTGCTGTGGCTCTAGAACTTTCTGACCTGTCCTACCTGTTACGCTTGACAACCACACGGTAGAATTCAATTGCATTTAGGACTAAAAGTTTTCCTTGCATGATTTCCTGTGTAGTGCGATAGAAACAACTTAATGTCACAGCACACTTCCATTGTCACTGGTGGAAAACAAATTCCCCTCCCTCCTGGCCACTGTTATTAACTCCAAAGCAAAGAGTATGTGCAAAAGGCAAAGGAAAAAGTACAAATGTAAAAACTGGATCCGCTGCTACCAAACTGCCAGCCCACCAAAACAACATACATGCTAACAGAAATAACACAAGGAAATGCCCCGTGCATTTTCCTAGAAAAATATTGAAAGATTCCAAAAAACTCCGTGACTTCATTATCATTCACAGCACTGTTACAAAGTCTTATTTACTTTTTTGTTCTTTGTTTCCACTATTTATTTCTGAAGGTCACACTGTTATTTGTTACATGACTCAGGGAATTAGCAAATACATTCAATTTGCTTAAATAGGGTAATTACTACTACACTCAGCTGACATTAGGAGCCTTTGTGCAATGAACTGTCCTGTGAGGTGTGCTTAAAATTAAGGAAAATATGCATGTATATTTTAAGAGCATTAAGAAGGAAGAACACTTGTAACTCCAGACATAAAAGTTTTTCATCTTCTACTTTCTGTATTTTTTTGAAGTACTGATTGAATCTTAAGCTACCAGAATGCAGGCAGCTCTGTAGTCTCAGAATCAAATGAAAAAATAATACAGTGTATAAATTCTTCTGGGTGAGACAGACCACAGAAAAGCCACCAAAACAACCATGAGAGAACAATGCACTTGAAGGAGTTAATGTTATGGTATGGTTAGGACTGGAAACACTGACAGGATAGGAGCAGCAGCCCCTAGCCTGCTTTGGTAGGTCTTCTGTCATTCTGAAAGACAGTGCATTCTGGTAACCATACCCACACCACACTCTGAACACAGTGGGAACAGAACCCATACTCAGGAGCCTTTTTCCACACTTGGGAAAAAACAAACAAGGCGACTGCTGAAACTCCTCATGCTCAATTACTGAGCAAGATGCTAAAGCTCCAACATTTAATGAAAGAAATGAAGTGCTTATGTGCATGTATACAAGTGTACACACACACAGGCACGCAGCTCTTACTCACAGTTTACTTCCAGAATGGCACGGACAGACTTGGCAAGGTCCCTGGCTTCTGCTGCAAGAGCTGTGGTAACAGTTGGTCCAATCCTCCCCAGCCGGGCAAGAAGTGCTTTAGAAGACAATGGTGTCCTTCTGCCACTAAAAGAAGGGGAGAAAAAAGCATTTATTTGTAAGGTGAGCAAAGGTTCCTTTCAATAAAGTAAAGCTTGAGTGTCATTCTGTGAAAAAATCACTAGTATCATCGAGCATAAGTTGGTTTCAGAATTATTCTGTCTGTATAACAAAGGCTTTTAGGAAAGCTAAAATAAAACAGCATATTTAATTTCCCACCCCCGCATTGAGTATAACAGCATTCAGAAACATACAACAGAAAACTAAGGAAAAAATACAAGACAATTTTTAGGGACAAAAGTAGATTATTTTTCAATATGTGTGTGAATAACAGCTCATATCTGCTTACCTCAGAACAGCCGAGGAAGGAGAGTTTTCGGAAAGCATTTCATGCACAACCTGTTGGCCACAGTAAGAAGTTAACAGCTCATAAATCAGTGCAGTCAAGAAGGTCAGATCTTTGGCACATGGGCTCTGATCTGTACTTCATAATGTTGTTTCTGTTATAGCATTTCAAAACGTTACTAAATACCATTTTTCTGCCTTCTTCCTCTGCAGTATTTCACAGAAGTCAGTATGCTCGTGAAAAATACGTTTAAGAAATCCAACCAGTTTCACTGACTCCACATACAGCAAGATGAAAAGACATTCCTACAAGAACAGCACCTGTATTTCCAGCATGGTGCACCAAGCTGGGGAATCAACACAGGGCTTTTCCAAACAGAACAGTGCAGTGGCACAGTTACCTCTACGAATTGTAGCAGTTTTTCAGTAGCCACCTCAAAGCTCTTCCTAGCCGACTCCGATTTCCGCAGCTGACAGTCAAGAACAGTAACCCTCTTTCTCAAATCTTGGATGCTATCCTGGAAAAGATGTTTGGTACGTGCTAGTTTAAGGCTTTTATTTTCATCATTTGCTCCTATGGCTCACAAAGGTAAAAGGTGTGGATTAAAATGAAATGTTTTACACCTTATGTTTCCTACCCATACCTGCTCAGGTAAGCTCTAGTAAATAAGCTCCCGGGTATCACATCAAGATACATTCAGACTGGCAGCTGACAGCAGCGATGGGCTGAAACCGAGGATGCTCTGTACTGACTTATGAACAGATGAACAGCGCTGAAGTGACGCTGGCAGGACCTGTCAGCAGGGTGCCACAAACAGCCAGTATGTGAGGAGTTGTGGCCCTCTGCTTTGCGTCTGTCCATCCTTTGTCCAGCAGAGCAATTATGGCATATCATATTGAAAATCACCCCCCAGGATTTCTCCACGTGCGCTTGTATAAGCTATCGACCTGAGTTATTCATCCTTCCTCTCCTTCAGCTTCAGACAGTGTGAGCCCAGCACCACTGAGTCTCACTCATTAGATCAGGTGCTGAAGGCTCAGGGTTTTCTCTCGAGTCCTTGGAACTGTTCACCATGAGAAAAGTTTTTATATGCATGTAGGTTGCCCAAAAGCAATGCCTCCTACTTACATACATGGGAACTATAACACAGAGCAGTACAACATTATTTGATAGAGCAAATTCTCAGCTAAGAAACACTTTTTCTACACAGGCACTGCTTTCAGCTGTGCATGTAGGTATTTCACCCCGATGTTTGGAAAGGCTGTGACCGATCACCCATGCCATCAGATGAGGGGAATTTCTCCCTGGAAGTTACACACATTTCCTGTGTTGCTCCTCCGTAAGCTCATACACCGCAGGGGTCAGTTTTATCTTATTAAAACCTTTTAATATTGAATTAATTCTCACCGTGAAAAAAGGCAGCAGTTCATTAAGCCTCCTTCACCATTAATTCTTATGCACATCTATTTTTCAAGAGAAAAAGAAGGCAAACACACACGCCAACCTGTCTGCACTTGTTTGAACCATGTGCAGAAGATTAAAAGCACCTCCAATATTTTTACTCCTCAGCATACTTTGAAATGATTCACTGGAAATGAAGTAGCTTTAAAGTATGAGACTCAATTAAAAAATTGTAGGAAATTTCACTGGCACACTACTGTTGGTATCATTTAAATTACTATCTTGATTAAATCCACATGTACTTAAGAACAGCACTGGATTTTGTAACATTAATCTAGCAGAAGCATAAAAAACCATTCAGGTAACTTTTACATAGGTACAGAGGCAAACAAATGTGTGCACCATCTTCACAGCTGCTGTCTACAGAGCAGAAACTATTCCTGCTCTAATGCTCGAGATGTGCCATGGTGACATGGCCCACATGTGCTTCCAGCTCCTGTTTTTCCAGCCCAAAGATGTCTGGATAAAGGAAGACTCACGCACTCCACATTATCCCCCCCACTACAAATCATTCCAGTTATTGAATAATACAAGACAAACAGTGACCTACTTTAGCAAAGCAGATGAAAAGAAAATGAAAACAAGATACATGACAACAGCAAGGAAACCATGGTAACTATAACAGGAGACTGCTTTGCTTACTTTATTTTGGCCACAGTGATCAGAGAGCTGAGCCTTCAGCTCCACGATTTCAGCTTCCAGCAGGCGAATCACTTCTTCGTAGTCCATCTCCATTCCGCGCGCCTGTCTCTGTGCAGCTTCTGCAAGATGAATCCTGCTTCGCAGGGCTCTTGTCTCCTCTACAGCTGCCTTGGCTTCCTGTAGATGATAGAATTTAATTGACAAGTTACAACTCCTGCTAATAACAAAGGATTTTTTTTTTTTTTTACCTGCAAATTTAGCTTAAAAGCATCGTGGTTCACGTTAGGGCTGCCTTCTAGTTTTCAGTCAGCTGATCCACTTCCTGATTTTTACATCAGGTTTTTACAGAGAGATGACATTCCCAATGAATTACAACATTAATTCTATGACTACTTTAAATCCAATTGAATGAAAAGCTTTATGGAAATGCATCCAAAGCTGTTAATTTTTCCCATTGCTTCTGCAGGAGGCGAAGTCCTTCTAATGATGTTGCTACATACTTTACTATCACTGCCTGAGTTTGCACATCATGCAGGTGGATTCCAGATGCAACCATTCAGTCTAAACTGCTCTTAAAGTAAGTGCTGTTTTTAATTTTCCTGCCCAGTTCCTGCTCTTGTTATTCTGCATTACCACAGAGCAGCGTCACGTAACATTTATTTAGAAATATATGTAGAAAATTAGAAAAGAGAAACTGTTAAATTCTTATTCAGCTAGAAGTAAATGCTGTCAATGCTCAGTTCATCAACTCAAATTCAACTTCAAATTTCATGGAAAATACGTCATATAATGTTTAACAGGTGTCATAGTATGAATGAGTAGAAAGTTCAGTTAGGCTTACAAAGGCAGATTTAATTCCATTGTTTCCTAACTTAGAAACATGCCTATTTTGCAAGCAATATTCTTCAAGCCAGGTTTTCCTACACTTTGTCTGAATGTTTTTCATATAGAATGATGGCCAGCTCCACCACTGTCAGTTTCATGTTTTTTAACCTGTAATCTGTTAGCCCAAGAAAACAATTATATTTTTTCAGGCTGTAAGTAAATTAATCTGAATGACATATATAGGACACCATCTACCCCATATTTACAATGGTTTTGCAACGTAATACCAATTTGGATAATTGCCAGGGACATTCTGGTCCTTTGGGAAATAAAGCAATGAAGGAAAGAAGCACACATGTAGCAAACAGCAATATCACTAGTACAGATGACAGCTTTTATATAAAGACCTTTCTACTATAACTGATGAAAGATACATTTTAATACCCTTTGATAGCGAATATAGACATTTGCTATTTTCCTTCAGAAGCACAAGCAGGTGTGGCCAATGCATTCGACATGACTGTCATCTGCACCTGGGAACACAGGCGACCCGAAAGCAGCGTCTCTGTTGGGCAGCTCGTCCTGCTGCCAGCCGTTAGCACAGCACCCGGAGCTGAGCAGCGCTGGCTGACAGACAGACAGACAGACAGACAGCTGCTCACGGGCACAGCACAGACAACGCGTCCCTCCTGCACGTGGCTCACAGCAGTTCCCTTTCCTTCAAATTAGTCAGGGGATTTCTTAGAAATCCCAATCCATATCTGCAGAGATCAAACCTCCTGCTTCTGCAGGACTTCCCTGCTGCTGTGACTCATCAGCAAGAAAAGGTGGGCCCTGCAGATGACAAAGGATGTTTTCATAGTCTTCAGTAGCAAAGGTACCAGCAGTGAGGGAAGGGCTCTTGGAGAGAAAAGTGAAAAGGTACTAAGTTTGCTGAATAGAAATGAACACAGAGGCCCCGACAAAGGGTAGCATCTTAAAAATGCATTGGTGGGAATTATTTAAATAAACTGATAGCAAATATGTCATGGGAGAACTGCTATAATGAAAAGGGAGGTCTTTATTTTGAAATAAGACTTCCTTGAGATAGAGGCTTAATCTCTTCTAACCCAGAACTGCCTTCACTCCTCCATTGTTTCTTCTGAAACCCAATTGTTGAATATTAATTCCTCTGTAATAGCAGACTAAGTATGACCAGATTTCAACAATGAAAGACCTAAAGGAATAATTAACGAACAATGGACTCTTCTATTACAAGGAAACGATTATCCACACCAGGACTGAATTAGCAGAATTTTCTGACAAACCAGAGCTGTTTCCTCCAGCAGGGAGCACACAGGGATGGAGGCCATCAGCTTTCCCAGTTCTACAGTTACTGAAGCTGGCACTGCTGTGACGCGGTCGGTTCTAACCCACAGAGCTGGGGGGCATCCACCACGAGAACAGGTGGACTACAGCATGCTGCAGCAGCACCTCGTCTCATCCCTTTTGACTGCAGGCATAAAGGAAGACATAACAGCTGCAAATATTTTACCCAAATAAATGCTTGATGGAACCCTTTGTCCCAATGTGGCACAAAGCCACCACCACAGCTGAGTGCAGGCTGCAGAACAGAATGGAATCCTTATGGAGAAGGTAAGGTGCAGGTTTCTTACGTGCCAGGTATTTCTCCCTCGAATTAATTGAAATGTTTACAGGCTTTATCTGAGAAATAACCCAGCCACCACAATCACTGAACCAAAGTCACAAGACTGGGGAGGAAAGGAAAGGAACAGAAACCCTGACATGGCCATACCTACATGGAAAGCTGCAGAATCTTTTGGGAAAAGCCCCTCAGCATCTATGCCTGGAAAAAAATCACAACTTTAACACTGACTCAGTCAGTGTTCAGTGCTGAGACTTCTTCCATTAAGGACTGCGCCACACCTCTACCCGTCATAATGAAGATGTATTTCTTAATACATATACAAAAAAAAAGAGGCAGCATTCAAGTTATGGCTTCTAGACTGGCAGAAAGAAGGGTGAGGTGGGCTTCAGTACACCAAGAAAAAAGTTGCTCACACTTTCACATAACCTGTTTTTCCATTATTTCTCCTGAAATAAAGCACCTCAGAGACACTGCACCCATTCTATTTCTTACACTTCTGTGTGGATAAGCACCTAAGCTGCATATCTAAAACGTATCCTCATTTTTGCTCTAGGAAACATCTACCTCCTCTGAGCACCTTCAATGCAAATTAATGCAAATTAAAATAGCCACAGCTTAAGGCCAAAAACATATCCCTAGATCAGCAAAACAGTTTTCACTTTCTTGCTGAGTGAAAAATGGAAAGCACTTGCACTTTCACTTTCCTAAGTCGTACCCTTCCTCACCTCCAACAATCCCTGTGTGTCAGAGGACTCAAAAAGAGGTTCAGATAAGAAGCCTGAAGTATATCATTATAAATTGACAACTGGCAGTCTAGATTGCCTATTATTATCAACTGTGTATCACTATGAACCTCAGTGTCAACAATGGTTCTGAACCACAGATGTATATATATGCACTATATCAACATGTAAAAATGTAATAATTTCTTATATACATATATATACCATTTATGTATAGTTATATGTATAGTTATACATAAAATACTTGAAAACATGTGCAGAACACACAGAACTGTATTTTCATCAAAAGCCTTCTCTGTACCTCCAAAGTGGGACTCAAACAACAGCACTGCTGCAGTGACACATCAGTTATTATTTCTCTCTTTCACTATCTGGGCCCTTTTCAGCAGCAGTTACTCAAAACCTCAATGGGAAATGTTTGTATTTATCCCTTGGTGGGCTGCTTCACTCCCAGCAAAGCCACCTTTAGGACACGTAGCAGGACTGGACAGAAAACTAGAAGTATGAGGACCTCACCAGGTAGAAAAGGGGCATTGCTTGCACCGGAACCGACTGGTCCTAAAAAAAGTCCTCAACAAGAGCAGCTGTGTGAGCTGAGGCCCACGAGGAGGACCTGCTGCCATACCACCCGTGTTTACTGTCTGTGCTTTCTCTTGGCTTTAGTTTGAACCGATGGACACCAGCTCCAGTCCGGAGTGACGACCTGAGGGCCCATTAATGAACAGAAACATATGCAGCACCATTGTAACGTACTTCTGGTTACATTCATCCAAAAAAGAATCTGGTTTAATTCATCAGGGTCTGCTGTGGAGAAGGTATAGGATTAACGGAGGAAGCTTCCAATTAGTTCTCTTGCATTTGTGGAATGAAAGGTACCAACAATGGTGCTTAACAGAAACACGTAACGAGCAAAAACGTAAAAGTGATCTTTGCATAGCAGTGAACTGAAAGATTTTTCAAATTATATTTTGCATTTTTGCATCTGATGCAACTGAGAGCCTCCAAGGAAGGCTGCAGCAGTACAAGAGAGAAGAAAGGGGAGCAGCTTTGGAGGAGGGCAGACAGAAGTGTTTGGTAGAAGCAGGAAACAGGGAAGTTGCTCCAGCTGGAATTTGGGATATAAACAAGTTTCAAGAGAGAATGATTTTATTTTAAAGAAACTTCAGCATACTTGCTTGACTGCTTGTAGTTCCTCTGTTAACTGCTTCTGTAAATTCAGAGATTCTGATAATTCTTCCTGTAAAAACAAAAATAAATAAATAAAGTATGCCATAGCTTGTATTCCAAACTAGATTCCAACTGCTGTGTTTGCAGTTTGTGACACACTCTACAAATGACATTGAATAAGCCCACAAACACACAGATTTTAAAAGCGCTGGTGGGAAAAAAATAAAATCTGAACATTTTCTTAAGATCTGGGACAGAATCAAGCTGGAATTCATAAAGGACAGTTTTAGGAGGGTTCATTAACGTTATACTCATTACATTTCTCAAGCATCTGAGGATTACACACTGAATGTTTCTGCAATGCAAATAAAACACGCTTTAAGCCTCTTGCTGTACAGCCACAGAGAAAGTGCACAGAACAAAGACACCTCTGCGGCTCGAGCAGCGTGCTGCACAGCCTGGCATTCACAGCAAGGTATCTCCAGCACCGTGTTTGACCACTCTTTTAGCTGCCTACCGACACCAGCAGCACAGTCAGGCTGTGCTGCCACAACCTGCACCATTTCCAGAAGCTTAAAAGCTCTGGAGAAGTTTATTAAAAGAAGTGCCATAAAAGCACAGAGATGCTCACACTGAGGCAGAGCTTACAGATGTTTACAGGAAAAGTAAAAGAAATGGGGCGATTCTCATAAGCTGACCTCACCAGCTTTCAACATCAGCTATTCAAGGCCTCCTGGTCAGTATCCAGTTCTTCAAATTGATCACTGGAGACCAGGCTCTTTCATTTCAGTACAAAGTTCTTTGTGAGAAGAGTCCTTGCACACAGAGTGAAGAACAGTTCTTTGTGTGCACCAACCCAAAGCTTTTGCAGTCTCTAGCAAGGATGAATTTGTTGGGCCAGCTGACAACATATAGAATTGCTTGTACCCTGGGATCACGCTTCCCACTCATGTCCAAGAACAAGAGTTAGGGGCACTGAATATAGAATTTATTTTTTTTTTTTACATCTTGGATTGCTAAAGAAATTCAAGACCACGGGACAATGGTTGTAACCCAGGTATTAAGTAAAAATAAATACATTAATTGCTTTTGATATTAAGTGTTTCATAATGTCTGTGAAAACACGCATTAATTTTGCAAATGGATTCATTTATTTTCCAGTTAACTTCTTTCAAAATTATCAGCATCTGCTCAGACACTGTGGTTGTGAGGATCACACATTTCCAAATTAAACTGCTCTGCAAATCAGTCACTTCTCCAAAGACACTTCAATGAAATGGCTTCTCAGCCTCACCTCCCTGTGAATCAGATTTAAAAGTCTTCGTGGTCCATGTAATAAAGCTCATGTTCTCCATACTGTGAGCACACGATCTCTAAGCATTATGCAGTTTGCTCTGCCTTTTTATTTATCTATCACAACTTGAGTGTCAAAAGCAAAGCAGCAAAGTACACAAAAATTCGACTCCTGATTAAAATAACACAAGTCAAAATTAAGTATTACCTTTAATTTGCTCATTTCTTTTAGAGCTTCATTTCTTTCCTTCTTAAGCTTTTCCATGTCATCCTCCAAAGAATCCCAGGTTACAAACTGCGCACATTTAAACAGGCCCTGTTAGAAATCAGTCCTATGTGCATCTCTCATAATCCTTAACATCCTACCCTAAAAGGTCTTGTCAATGAAATGAGAGAATGATTTTAGAATGATTTAAAGCTCTGGAAAATATTATTGAAATCATGAAGAATTTTTAAGAAAATTCTCAGCAACTTATCAAGTAATTTTTCCTGTCACAAAGGACTGCCAAACTACTGCAAAGTGTCAAGACCACTCCACTAACAGTCACCACTTTGTTCAATATTTTAAATAACACATTATTGTATTTAGATTTTCCCATGCTACAAATACACTGCTTTGGCACTCACTCCTAAGTTACCTCCAGAATGAAGTGATATTCCATTTAGCAGCAGCACAAATCACCAGACCCCATAACTGTTTATAATGCACACAGGTAGCAGCAATGTGTATTTAAGAAACCTTGGCAAATCACTGTTGTCTGTACTCACAACAACATCATTATGTGAATTGCTTTCTGCAATGTAGGTTGCTTTGAAAAGCTTCATGGAAACTGGGTTATCTTAAAGCACAGCATGACAGGGGGCTGTGCTGAAAACCTGCCCAAGATTTGGAATAATCTCACACGTTAAGCTCCCCAATAATCCCCTCCCAGCAGCTGAACACTGCACACACACACACTTCACCTGCAAATCTAACAAACTGGCAATTTCATCAATCCCAAACGTTACAGGTTTTTGGCCACCATCTGTTGCATCCAATTGCACAGAGAACAGATTCCTTGAAACTTCAATGAAATCTAGAAAACAAAACAGTTCAGGTTTTGTTGCTGCAGTCTGCAGGTTCGTGTCAGCAGCAGCATCAGTGGGTGCAACACAACTGCTCAGAGCACGATACAAGGCTGCTCTCAGAATGCAGCATCTGCTCTCCACAATTTTCTTAAAGGAAAACATAAATCTTAGTTTTGTCAGACACAGCCCTCTGAACAGAAGCAAGCTGGCAAAATAAGAACAGGTCCTGGCACAAAATGCTTCGTAAGTTGTGAAGGAGAAAGGAAAACCAGAGTTCAACCTCCAAGTACCTGCTAAGAGATGCCGTACACCTGCAGACCCCTGTGGAAACCTGAGATCTGCACACCTGCTTTACACCCACCCTGCCCTGTGGATTGATCTTCTGCAGGAAAGACACAATTCTGTGCTTGCTCACCGCTCAACTGTACCTTGGGGAGCCTTCAAAACTCTGACAGAGGCCTGGGAAAAGCGATGTTGGACAAGGAAATTTCACAAACGCTGTGACAATCAGCGCGGCCCGAACCTACCGTTCATTTTGAACCTATCAAAGAAAACGTTCTGCTACACCAGGAGAGGAAACGTGAAGGTCAGTTTGTGAGCACCACAAAATCCGATGGAAGATCCACCACCTTCACCAACAGGATACCTGGAAATCCAGTGTCACGTGTGGATGATTTGGTACAAGCAGTTATTTTTGTACCAGTATGAAAGTTGCATTAAATTTTATTACCAGTGTTTGATGCCGTTTTTCACAAATTTCAGGAAATTTCCATCAATTTTAGCATTGGAAATAAAATATCTCAATGTAAAACAAATATTCTGAAACTGCTGGTGTCTCCTACCAGCACTGCCACAACCAGCAGCAAAAAACTGGACAAAGCAGCGTGCTGGGCTGCACACAAATGTCTCTCCACACATAATAGCTCTTCTTGGTTGTCACCAGCTGACCAAGTGAAACCATCTGTCAGTTTCGTTTCTTTTCTCTACCTCTCAGATACAGTCACTTCGTTTCAGAATTTTAAGCTTATTTTTGTTAAATAGAAAGGTTTCTGCCCTGAAGTACTGTTTTATTTGTGGTAGCAATCTGACATTGACAGAAAATACATCTGCTATTTCTGTATTCATACATCTTGCTGTTTTCCAGAGTAATTAAGAAATTATTACCTCCAAAAGACACTGTTCCTTTGGAATCTTTCTGAAGT